AAAAAAAAAAAAAAGAATTGTTTGTTACAACTCATCTGTATTACAGGGAATTATACCTTTAAAGTGTTAGAAGCCTGGGGGAGCCCAGGTCAGCGCAGACCCCATACTCTAAGGGGTCAGGAGCCTGTGGGAAGGCACTGTGGACATCTCAGCTCCTCTAGAGCCCCAGGAAGAGGACTGTGTTGGCAACACAGGGCTGTTGCCAAGACTCCTGTCTGTGACGCCCCGTGTCCACTGCACGAGATGGCTTCAGCCTACCTGCCACCTCCCAAATCTCATATTAACTTTCACTGGCGGTGTATAGGCCACATCCAGATCCTGGGGCAAGGAGAGTCTGGGGAATGTAATACTCTTACTTATATTCCCTGTGGTACAGAGAAGACAAAGAAGCTAATGGGAATTTTTGAAATTATTAAATGCAAATATGTATACCTCACTCTTGTTCCTCCCACAGCACAAACCTAGAACCAGAGGGGTGTTTAGGGATAATAGGTTAAGGCTTGGAAATGAGACAGCTTTCACATGGAACCTAAAGGCACAAGTGTGCATGCGTGCATGTGTGTGTGTGTGTTGGGGCAGGGGAAGTTAGTAATTTGGAATTCACATTTCAGAATATTTCTGTGTTAGCCAACCACAGGTTTCATTGTTACGATATGAGCATCTATAGTCAGGTTGTTTTATAATTCCCCAAGTTTTTTTTTTTTGTCTGTTCTAAAAGGCACAAGCTAAATTCAATAACTGAGAGATCGTGAAGGAATAGATTAGGTTGATAAATCACCAGAGAAGCCTAAGAGTGGTTGCCTCCAATAGCTGCCCCCATCTGGCCAATTAATGGTTTGACTCACTCAGCACCAGCTCCTGTATTTTATACATTCTGGAAGCTTGTTTTCAGAGTCACTTCTAACTCCGCATCTCATCTTTGGGGCTCCAAATCCAGCACAAATCCCAGACATACAGGGCATTCCATTTGCAATGCAAATGCTGTTTTGCAATGCAAAGTTTTTTCCATCTTCTGAAAATGTGCCTGCCCTCACCTGTGAATCCTCCTTTCAGCTATTCTCCCAGGAATAGGAAGTGATTTTACTCCGCTGTGCATGTAAGACAGAGTCAAGAAATGGCATTCTTTATTTTACATATTTTTAAAATTTTCTTTATTGTTATCTTAATCACCATACATTACATCGTTAGTTTTTGATGTAGTGTTCCATGATTCATTGTTTGTGCATAACACCCAGTGCTCCACGCAGAATGTGCCCTTTTTAAT